ATCTGGCCATGCCGGGCCCACTATTGTATCTTATTGAGTAACGTTATACGTTTTTCCTGTTAACCACACTTAATGACATCACCGCATTTTGTTTTTCTGCTCGATATACACTTGGGACTCAAACAGTACTTTCAATATTGATAGTATTCTTGTTTACTTTTGTGGGCGACTCACATGTGGCCTAGTAGCTAGTGTTCCCCAAATATGAATCCGAAGATTCACGGATCGCCTAACGTGCTCCGCACTTTGAGGTCGTGGGTGCGTCACAAAAGTGACTGTCAAGTCCCATTATTCGGTCACATAAGAATAACCCAATAACTGGCAATGTGTGATGCTGACTGCAAGCTTGTTGCTTTCCCTCTGGTCGGTATTTCAAAATTAGGATTTGGTTTGTTATGAATTTCGCGCAAAGCTACACGAGGGCTATCTGCGCTAGCCGTCTTTAATTTAGCAGTGAAAGACGAGAGGGAAGGCAGCTAGTCATCACCACTCACTGCCAACTCTTGGTTTATCTTGTACCAATGAATAGCGGGATTGACCGTCACATTGTATCGCCCCCACAGCTGAAAGGGCGAGAATGTTTGGGACTGTACATTAAACACATAGTTTGTAGCACAGTTGTACATTAAACACATGATTTGGAGCACGGCTGTACATTAAACACATAGTTTGTAGCACAGATGTACATTAAACACGCGATTAGGAGCACAACTGTACACCAAACACATGATTTGGAGCACAACTGTACATTAAACACAGGATTTGGAGCACAGGTGTACATTAAACACGCGAGTAGGAGCACAATTGTACATTAAACACATAGTTTGAAGCACAGTTGTGCATTAAACACAGAATTTGGAGCACGACTGTACATTAAATACGCGATTAGGAACACAAATGTACCTTTAACACATGGTTTGGAGCACAATAGTGCGTTAAACAGATTATTTGAAATACCGCTAAACATTAAACACGACTCCGATTACCGCTGAATCTACATCTAATCTCCTACTATACATTTCATTTTGTTTATTGAGCTTGGACCAAGTTTGAGGAATTCAAATCTCAGTGTCTGAAGACACAAATGACGAGGTGAGGTAGATGAAAAGTTACCCTATCCTGGTTTTAATAATGATAGAATATGTCATTAGTTCAAAAGGCTTAACTTGGACAACATTATTTATGTCTATCAATGATTCTACTGACGTTCATTTTATATTTTATGTAAGTTCTTTCTAAGTATAATGTCTAATATAGTATGGGCATGCTTAAAGCTTATATATGCGCCATCTATTATTACCCAACCTATTTGTTTAATTCTCAGTTTATTTCTAAGACTAACGACCACATGCTGGGCCTCTTGCTTTCCTAAATTGTCTTCTGGTCTGATCTCCTTTCAATCTTGAGCTCCAAGTGTGTAATTAAACGCAAAATGTACAATTAATCAAAACCAATGTAAATGAATGCAAGCGTAATTAATTACACTAAAGAGCAATGTTTATGCTACGCGCCCTTAAAAATTCATTATTTATCTAAACCAATTAAAATAAGTAAAAGGAAACTGTCCGAACTAACCATACCAATAATTTGATAAAAATGATTGCGAAAACTCTTCTGTTAACAACTACACCACTTTTCAAACCAGAAACAACATATTTACAATATACGGCTAAGTGTTACTATGCCGCTCTGCTTTTAGTGTGCCATCGTTTGTGCCAACAAATAAAATTCGTTTCTTTAATTGTTCATCTGTATATTCATTCATTTCCTCAGTCATCTAAGAAGATATTAACCCTAGAATTGCCAGTGGGGGGTCTACAGTTTTTGAACACATAACTTGAACACATTTATATATAAAATTGATAGTGGGCCTGTAACTTTGTTAGTTACAGGATCTATAATAACATATGAATAGCTTATTTGTTTCTTTCAGAATGTTCTGCGCAAAAGCAACACGAATGGATATATTCACTAGCCGTCTTTAATATTGAACTGACTGATTGTTTGTATTATTTATGGCAAAGCTACTAAGGTTATCTACTGTCGTCCCTAATTTTAGGCCTGGCATGGCCAGGTGGTTAGGGCACGCGACTTGCAACGGGGGGTTCGAATCCCCGTCCCAGGTGCTCCTAATCGCGTGTTTAATGTACACCTG